TCTCCTACCCAGACATCATCTCTACCAACCCCTATACTGAATTATAATTATAAAATCTCTGGAATCTAACAGAGTCAATTTCAACCAAAATATTTTCATAATATTCTCTATCTTTATTTTCAGAATATAAAAAGACATTATCCAATGTCATAAATCTTCCAGCGATACATATACTTGTATATATATATATATATACATATATTATATATATCTATATTATGAAATTATCAATATAAAAATAACTTTTATATTTTTTTTATTAATGTTTAAATTACCGTTCAAATATATATTTAGACTATCCAAACAGGTTTTTCTATTTTCTGTATTGTAAAATTGTTTTTAAAATCATTTAATCAAACAAGTTTTTTATCTCAAAAATATCAAAACCACTTTCTTAAAACTTTTCTCAAAAATTGTTTTCGAATACTATTTTTTGAAACGAAAACCAAACAGCCCCTAACATTTCAAGTTCTTCATTTTTTTGGTATGATACCATTATAAGTCATTATTTTTCAAATAAAAATTTAAGTAATAATGAATAAACATATAAAAAAGTAAGAACGCGAATTCACGAATTAAAATTTTGAATTTACAAATTTTATAAAATAAGAACATGAATTCACAAAAAATTCGCTCTTAGAGCACAAATTCGCACACACAATGTTGACTATTTTGAAAGATTATATCACTAAGGTCTCATCTTTTCACTTTTCAAGACTACACCTAAAATAAAATAAAAAAATCTCAAAAATTGGTAAGTTTCATCCCCAAATAATAAAATAAATTTCACCTAAAAAAAGTAGAAAGTGAATCAAAATTAAAAAATAAAAAAATCTCAAAAGTGATAAACTCCACCTAAAAATTAATATAAATGCCTCGAGAAGTTATAAATGACTGATGTACCAAAAAAAATTCGTGACCATTTCTTTTCGCGTCTAAATCAAAGCTGGTTTCGTTCGTTGTGGCCTGGCAAACATCGAGTACCGAAAGGCAATCCCACTCATGGAATTTTTCCAACTTTCTTTGTTTGTCTTGGAGCAAATGTGACCACCGAATGTTGGTTCCACCTATATTCCAATAGGACTGGCCTACTACCTGCCAGCCCCCACACCCACTCTTTCAATGCGAATCTAAAAAGCTAGAAACAATGACAGTCACGTGATCTGCATCCTTGCAAGTTTGGAAAATTCTACTTTCCATGCTAAAGGTCCTTCAACATACATGATGTTTAGTCCAATATGGCTAACTTTTATCTTATGAAAATTTTATCTTATTTTAGGTCTTTTGGACAACAAAAATGTAATTGGTTCGTAGGATAGACTTCAATTAATTTGATGAATCGTATCAAAATATCTGGTGTAAGTAAACGCAAGTTATGATTTAACTAGTGTATAGGTTGAGGGATCGATTTATGTATATAGAATTTGCCCTTAGTTTTATTTGGACTCATGAGCCTGAACGATATAAAAACGCCTCTACTTGTCAAGAATAGTGTTTTGTATAAATTGAATTGTGAAAAAATATATTCAGTTATAATTAACTTTTTTATGATTGCGTATGATTAAGGTCATAAAGTTTCAAATTTATATCATATGGAATAGTTGTTCAATAACATTTGTTAAGAAGATTTGACAAACTAATTTATTTATAATACACGCCAAGAAATTAATAACATAAATTCAGTTTTCCAAACAAAATGTCCAAATAAAAACATTCACGCCTAAACCGATAAATTATTCATATCAAAAGGGTTTCTAATAGACTAAATTCAAATTGAATAATTTTGTTCAAAAGTTTATTTAGGATTTCACAATCAAGTAAAGAATTGTGAATCCTAAGGTGCCAATAGTTTTGCATATTTTTGTTAGTCCAATCAAAGCCAATACCAAGCATGCCGGATAAGATCACAAAAGGCAACAATCAAGGCGACAAAAGGATTCAAAAAAAAAAAAAAGTGGAAATAGCTTTTTTAAGTACTGGTGTGTGATGAGATGATATCACGGAAAGACAGAAAAAGAGTGGTTGATAGAACAGTTGAGATGACACGTGTTGTGTTTGTGGTAATATTAATATCAATAAAAAAATTATTTAATTTTATAATTACTTATATGACTTTTAAAAAAATATAAATATATATTTTATTTATAATACCCATTAATTGTATTTTTCGTATCTAATCTTAATTTAATTTATTTATTATTTGTATCAATTGATAATATCATTTTTGAATTTTGTGTTTAATTAAATTCGTTTCGGATTCATTCCAAAAGGTCAAATTGACATTCTTAAACACGTGTCACATTTGGGGTGGTTGATTATATTGTTGACCATTTGTTACCGCTTGAATATAACAATTTTTCTTGGACAATGATTTGTGCTATAAAGCATATATGCAAATACAATAATAATAATAAATAAATAAAAAAAANATGATTTGTGCTATAAAGCATATATGCAAATACAATAATAATAATAAATAAATAAATAAATAAACAAAAATTGAGCTTAAAAAGACAATAATACAGTACAGACTGGCAATTTAATTGGCCACGACAATAAATCAATTATCATGTATAGGATTTGTTTGGCTGCACAAACTCTAGGCCATAAAATTGAAATTAAAAGCCAAGAAATTTCTTAAAATTATTTCCCTCCCCTTTCTGTTTGTATTTTGCCAAACGTGGCCTAACACAAATTGGGGGGATGCTGATTAAGAAAATATCTGGTANAGGATTTGTTTGGCTGCACAAACTCTAGGCCATAAAATTGAAATTAAAAGCCAAGACATTTCTTAAAATTATTTCCCTCCCCTTTCTGTTTGTATTTTGCCAAACGTGGCCTACCACAAATTGGGGGGATGCTGATTAAGAAAATATCTGGCACCAGTGGTCGATATTCAATTACATGGTCGAGGGGTAAAATGGGAAATTCAAACACCAACGACCAACCAGTACTTTTAACTTGTAACGACATCACTCCACCGCCTTTCTTGGAATATTTATGCCGGAATAAATAAATAAATTAATATTTGTTCGGGTAAAAATTATAATTAGTCCATAAGTTTTATCATGAGTTTTAATTTAGTTTTTAAAATTTTAATTATTNCCAACCAGTACTTTTAACTTGTAACGACATCACTCCACCGCCTTTCTTGGAATATTTATGCCGGAATAAATAAATAAATTAATATTTGTTCGAGTAAAAATTATAATTAGTCCATAAATTTTATCATGAGTTTTAATTTAGTTTTTAAAATTTTAATTATTTAATTTAATCGATCACTTATTTATTTTATTTTAATTAAATCATTCCATTAATTTTTATCGTCAGATCAACCGGATATTAGCCTAATTTGATTAATTTCATCATTGATTTAACGATAAAAATAAACAAAAAAACTTAATTGTAACAAAATTGATAGTTGATGGATTAAAATAAGACGAGTGNTATTTATTTTATTTTAATTAAATCATTCCATTAATTTTTATCGTCAGATCAACCGGATATTAGCCTAATTTGATTAATTTCAGCATTGATTTAACGATAAAAATAAACAAAAAAACTTAATTGTAACAAAATTGATAGTTGATGGATTAAAATAAGACAAGCGAAAATTTATGGATTAAATTAAAATTGGAGGTAAAATCCAAGGACTAACTATAAAATTTATCCTATTTTTTTTATAAAATATTATAAATACATCAAATAAATATAATTTTTAATCAATTTTAACATGATACTAAAATTTTTTTCAACTTAGAATATAATATTTTAAAATATCGGGCACCCCTGGTCGATATTCATTACATGGATGTAAAATGTGAAATTCAACCACCAGCTTCCAACAAATTCTTTTAAATGCCGATGAGTCACTCCACCAGCAACCTCAGAATTTCTACGCCTTAAATAAACTTGTGAAACTTAATGGAAGTGGCGTGGACTCATCTTCTCCATACACGTTGCGCATAGTTATTCGATTGCAGCTTCTAAAGATCAGCCTATCGGCACCAGAAAACCTTGAGATGTATTTTTTTTTATTCCGATACTAACCCTACACATATTACAGTTTCTAGAAGAACATTTGGTCTTTTACTACGTTACCCTCCTCCAAGCAATTTGAAGATTTAATATCTCACCCCCGCTGCACTCTCACTCCGAGCCACGCTTGTTGAGCAAGATGTATTACGATTTTCTCTTTTGTGGATGCAGCAGAGTATTCGACGAGCTTTGTCTCGTAAAGCCAAAGAGGCCACACGACAAAGAACTACTGTTTGGGATTTTATCGAGCATTTTTTATGAATTTTTTAAAAGATGGTTGAGTGGAGAGGGATTTGAATCCTTAAAATATATATTTTTTGTCAGATGATTCTTAAAGGATTTGGATTCTTTATTAATTTGATTCTTAAAATATTCAATTTGTGTCAAAAATTATTCCTACATAAAATGAATGTTAAATTTTTAATAGAATAGTTACGTATTGGGCACGTGATATTTTTTCAAAGTGTGATGTGATTATTTATGTTATAAAAATTTAATAAATTATCTAATTAGAAATCAAAATGATACGAATTATTGTGAAAAATTCAATTTCATTAACATAATTTTATTAAAAATACTGTTAGATGGACTTAAAAAGTAAATTTAAAAATTAGATTTGATAATTTCAACCATTAAATAGGTAGTGTGTCATAACAAATACTAGGATCCACAATGAAATCAATGATTGAGATTATCAAGTCTAGTTTTTAAATATATTTTTTAAATCCATGTAACATTGCTCTTTCACTAAATTAATGGAAGAAAAGTCAATTTCCAAGAAGGCTAATAAATTAAAATAAAAGCAAAAATCTAAGGGCAGTTTGGTCATATAAGTGCATCATTATAGGAAAAGAACGCCCAAGTATCCAAGTTCCCAGAAGGGGTAAGACCGTAATATAATTTTAGTCAGTGACGAATATGGTTGCCGCGTAAATATTCGAACTAACCAGGCCCCCTGCTATAAATTGCCGACAGCTCTCTACGTAACTCCCCACAGTTTCTCTCACTTTCCCGAGAAAATTTTTACTAGATCTCGGGATTCAGAATTCTCAGCTCCTGAACAGCATGAAGAAACCAGGATTCTTAGCCGCATCCATGGCAGCAGCTTCTGCCAGTGCCGTCTCTGCTTCCTCATCTAAGAGTCAAGGTTCTCGTGAGGTAAAGTCTTATTTCTAGTATTCGATCTATTTTGGAATTGATTTTTGTTGATTTTCTAGATGGATGCCTATTCGGTTCCTCATAATCAAGTTGAAAAACTGAATCTTACGAGCAGAACCACTAATTTGTTCTTTCTGGTCATGAAATTCTATGTTTTGATCCCCCCCCCCAAAAAAAAAAAAGAAAAAAAGAATCCCCTTTTCCTTTCTTTTCTCGGCAACCAAACAGGAAGGTTGTGTTTTAAACCGATTTACGGTCTTTCCTCTTTCTTCTTCAACTTATATGAATAAGAATTTTAGGCATTCACTTTTCTGGGAATTCGAGGAATTTCTCTCTCTTGATAATACTATTTACCTTTGTAAACTTTATGTTTCTTATGAGGAGCCTTTACTTTTTCCTCCATTTTCTCGGCAACCAAACAGGAAAATTGTCCTGTAAAGCTATTGTTCTGTCTTTCTTATTCGTAATTTTTCATTCTGACTGCTAAACCATTAATTTTATCCTTTTTGATTCTTTATAGGATTCTGATTCGAGGAAAAACAGCGGAAATTCTTCACCGGTTTCTTCGGAAAAATTTGCGCCGAGATTCGATGGATTGAGGTTTATTGAGACCCTGGTGACAGCTCACAGATAAAGCTTGATTTTCAAGGCTAGGCCCCATAATTATTGGGTTAATCTTTTTTGTCTTTATTAATTGTAGAAGTGTTCACAGAAAAGAAAGAACATGGGAAGCTTCGAAGTTTTGGTCAGTTTGTTAGTTGGAGAGATGAATTGTACTGTATCTGTTATATGGGTATTTTTTTTTTAATTGATCATTTTTCGTCCGATTAACTTTTCGGTATCGTATATATATTTTTTTTTTCTCAAAAAAAAGCTTGACAATTTGTAAAGATTTGAGGCATTAGACATGCTACTATTTTATTTTAATTTATTATTTTTTGTAATTAAATATCTCTGATAAATCAAAATCCTTGATCCAAAAACTATTTAGAGATAGAGCGGCATCTAATTTAATGACTTAATTTGTTATCATCTTTAAATTGATCGTAGGTCTTATCAAATATTAAAATTTGGTGTTGATTCAATGATTTTATTGAAATTACATCATTAGATTAATAAATTATGTCAGATTTTTAAGTTCAAATAACATTACTCTTATAAATATATTAACGATCTCTATTTTGTTTTGGTATCGTAGTGTTATCAGATAGAGAGATTTTTTTTTTTTGAGTCAACGGTTAAAGGGTGTTTTAGTTAGTGTATATACATTTCGATTAATTTTTTCTCTAATTTGATTAAAAAAGACTATTTATATTAGTGTTAGAATATTCATTGGGGGATAAATTTTTTTCGTGACTTGACCATAAAAGATTGTCAAGATTTGAATTCATAGCATCTGAGTTTGTAATCAGAGATTTTTTATGAGTAAATAATACTTTTATATTTTTTTGGACATGGTATTATTATATAGACGAGGGAACCTAATGAAACTTAGTAGTCAATTTTTAACACGTCAACTTGACGGGGGAGTACACGGCTATGAATTTAGCTTTAATGGGTGCCGTTCATAATTAAAAGTCGCATGTTTTTTTTTCTTATCTTTTTGGTCATTCAAAGTCGCATGATTAATAGATGGTCTAATACGAGAATATCTAATTTTGTATTTACGGTAATGGAAAAGCTCACCAAAGAAAGATCATGTTGTACTAACTTTGCATACTTGATTAAAATTCTGGTAAGTAATCGATAACTATAAGTATTCGATTAGATTCATGAGTCATTCAAACATTCGAAGTTTTTGTTTATTTTTAAGTTAACTTCACACACTAGATTACATGTGTGGATAAATAAGATGAAAATTTAGTTGATTGGGTGATTTGGGTATGCTAAACATATGTTTATTTTAACATGACAATAATAAAATATTTTCATCCTACACTAGACAGAATCCCGATCTAAGACCTCGTTTGAGAGTTCGACAAAAAATTAAAAATTTCAACACTTTANTTTTTTTTTTTTGAGTCAACGGTTAAAGGGTGTTTTAGTTAGTGTATATACATTTCGATTAATTTTTTCTCTAATTTGATTAAAAAAGACTATTTATATTAGTGTTAGAATATTCATTGGGGGATAAATTTTTTTCGTGACTTGACCGTAAAAGATTGTCAAGATTTGAATTCATAACATCTGAGTTTGTAATCAGAGATTTTTTATGAGTAAATAATACTTTTATATTTTTTTGGACATGGTATTATTATATAGACGAGGGAACCTAATGAAACTTAGTAGTCAATTTTTAACACGTCAACTTGACGGGGGAGTACACGGCTATGAATTTAGCTTTAATGGGTGCCGTTCATAATTAAAAGTCGCATGTTTTTTTTTCTTATCTTTTTGGTCATTCAAAGTCGCATGATTAATAGATGGTCTAATACGAGAATATCTAATTTTGTATTTACGGTAATGGAAAAGCTCACCAAAGAAAGATCATGTTGTACTAACTTTGCATACTTGATTAAAATTCTGGTAAGTAATCGATAACTATAAGTATTCGATTAAATTCATGTGTCATTCAAACATTCGAAGTTTTTGTTTATTTTAAGTTAACTTCACACACTAGATTACATGTGTGGATAAATAAGATGAAAATTTAGTTGATTGGGTGATTTGGGTATATTAAACATATGTTTATTTTAACATGACAATAATAAAATATTTTCATCCTACACTAGACAGAATCTCGATCCAAGACCTCGTTTGAGAGTTCGACAAAAAACTAAAAATTTCAACACTTCAGAATTAAAAAATTTTAAACTTAAAAGAAAAGGTTGCAATCAGCCCATTTTCACTCTGTTTGCTGTGAAAACAGACGTAGACCTATTGTTTGGGCATATAAACTTGTAGGAAAAAACAACATCTCAATCGAGACCCAATTTAAATGTTTGAAGCATGATTATGTTTTTTTTTTGAATGGTAGCATGTTTATTTTGAACACGAATTATTATAGAATTACTCTTATTACAATAGTATGAGAATACTAGTCCAGACAGCCAAATTGGACAGTAAAGTATTCAGCTACGTATGCAAAGTTGAAGAAATTACTAAAATTTTTCAACCAATACTGGCGGCATGATTCAAGGTTTTTACATCGTTTTGGATTGGGTTTGAGTAAATTTCCGACCTATAACATCGTCAGAGAGATATGAAGAAGATTGTGTTATTCATATGAAAGATGTGATCTAATTAATGTTGAAAAAAGACATAAACATAGACTAGTCATATGAAAGATGTGGTCTATAAGTGTTTATTCATAGACTAGGCATAATCCATGCCTTCCAGACACTATGCAACTTTTCTATACCTACTCCACATGACCCATTGGATTAGTGGTTTTACTAACCTATTCAATAATTGTAGTTGAGCTGTAGTTGTTCGTAAGAAAAAAAATTGGCAGAAAAGAAAAACATAAAAACATCATAATCGATAAAAAAAAATGTGAATTTTTGAATTTGTATAGCATTATTCGTAAAAGTGTCGTAGTCGGGTACTTGTTATGATACTGAAAATATCTTTTAGGCAAATGCGCATGTCAAAAGAGAATAATTGAGTGGAAACAGGGGACGAACCATAAATCCACATGTTCTGAGTTTGAATCTTGACAACATCTTAGGATTAAGTCATAAGAGATTTATCTCTCATAAATACTCTAGTTTCGACGTAGATGACTTATTTTTAATTAGATTGGGAAGGGGATAAGTTGAGATATACGTAAACTGACTCGAAGACCTCTCACTTTGAACTGAAAAAACAAAAGAGGATCATTGTGCAACTTGCATTTGACACGCAACGTAGTTCCATTACCACAAGTATGTTCTGCCACAAAACATAAGTGTTAACAATGACATCATCTAAAGAAAAGAATCGTGACTGACGTATCACCACGGAAAATCTCAGTTTAGTGTTGCTAGTCCAATTGCATATCACTTCCTATTGCCCCCACCACAACCCAAACACCCCCCTTTCAAATTTTCATGTCATTGGTCAAATTCAATTATCTACGGCTATGCCCTGTTTTGTACTGAACCTGTGATCACATTCGGGTAGGAGTAGGATAGGTCTAGTTGACACTGGCTATCTCATATAAATGATTTTCTAACTACGGGTTCAATAGTTATTATTGTTCACGTTCCAATCAATTCATTTAGCCAAATATAAGAAGCATAACAACCCCTCCCTCCTTTCTCTTTTAATTGCAATAGAGAAGTATCCGTTAGAAATTATTAAATAGAAACCATACAAGGAGCTACTGTATATGGCAGTACTCAATAAATTAGTACAATCAATATTAGATGGCAGTAATACATACCCAGTATCTCCTGTAAAGGAAGTTTAGTGAACAATGGAGTGGAACCATTGCCTCCTTTACAATGGACAGCTAGAGACCTCAAGACTGTATTCATGAAAACCAAAGCAACTGTATTGTTATCACTCACCCCCAGACTCTCCAAAAGGGTCCAATTCATATCTAAGCAAATGTAGCAAAGCAGAAGAGAAAATAATTTTTTTGATAACTAATCCATCAGTGTTATGGCCCAAAGAAATGAAGGAAATAGGACCAACTCTGCCTAATTCAATTATGAAATCATCTAACCATTCAAAAAACCTTTTGAGTTCACAACAAATCAATAAACTAGATTAAGAAGGAAAAAAAATTGTATATTGAATCTTTAACGCGTCTAGTTAGTGCAGGCATATGATAACAATAACCAAACACATCACAAATAAGAGTCATAAGACATACAAAATGGTGAACGGAATTATACCTTTCCCCTGATGATGAGGCAGTCGGGGCTGGTTGTGCTTGGAGATCTTGACCGAAGAAATGGCTTTCCATTGCCAACCATCTGAATAGAAACGTTTGGATTCTTTTTGGATTGCAAAATGTTTGGTTTCTTAGTTGCCTAATAAAACAATAACTCTACAATGTGGCATTCCAGAAAAGGAGATAGTAAAGTGTGCCAACTCAGATCCACATAGAGAGATAAAAAANTGGATTCTTTTTGGATTGCAAAATGTTTGGTTTCTTAGTTGCCTAATAAAACAATACCTCTACAATGTGGCATTCCAGAAAAGGAGATAGTAAAGTGTGCCAACTCAGATCCACATAGAGAGATAAAATAAACAATAAAACAACAAAAGATATATAAAGAATAAGAGCTTTATCAAGCTGGGTTGATCAAAGTGATGGACATGAACATGGGGGAGCACTAAACAAATCGATAACATAAATTGACTAATAAGCTTCAATTAAAATATCCCCACTCCAGGAGAATTCTCGCGGTTGAGAGACATCACTCATAAAATTAACCTATGAGTGAATCACATTTTTTAGATACACAAAAATGAATGTAGAAGACAGTATAGGTGTTGGAGCCATCGAGAATGATCCTTCAGAACAACTTAAATTGTAAAATCACGAGAGCAGATGTAAGCATCAGCACTGGGGATTGAATATATTTGTCTGGAGCCGCACTTTTTTCTGTGGAAGCTTTGGCTTGTGTTTTCAAAGTTTCTGTGCAAGAAAGACCATCTTTGCCTTCACGGCACAGACTGGAAAACAGTCCAGGTGGATATTTCCCATAGAGGTTTATGTAGCTGAACAAGGTTGAAGCACAATCATTCTTCAGGTCATTTATCTGGTCGGAGAAAGGGCAAGCTAATTCCTTAAAGGCGCCACAACAGACTGTGGCATTGTATTGGGGTCCTTTGCATTGTCTTGTGATAATTGTGTAGTTCTGGTTCTCAAAGTTCACAGGGCACCCTGCATATTGATTAGGATGAAAGATGACTATGGTACTATTTCAGAGCTATATAAGTATTTTCTACGGAAGCAAAAAAAACTATTTCAGAGCTGACTCAAGCTTCTAACCATTGCAACGAACTTTAAGCTATAGTTCTTTATTGTCTATCAATGACCTTTTGATCGATGAAGAGAGAGAAAATACCATTTCAGACATAGACGAGCCAACTTATCCAACAAATAACAAAACAAAATTGAAGTGTTTCAATTCAAGCTTTCTTTCTAGCAACGAATAAATGCAGAAAAGTCATGACTTAAAAAAAAAAAAGGAATAGCAAATAAAATGAACACACTTAAGATGACCAAAAGTAAGGACATCAATTTCTTGTCATCTATCCCGTCTTTAATCACTTTTATTGCTTTTCAAAATGCATTTAATTGTTGCATTATGTCATTGGAAAAGCTAGAGGGCATATGCTCGGTTGGAATTGTCTGAAAATTTCCTGACAATACCTCGAAAGCTAGCAATGAGATTAACCTTTTCTAATTGATGTTATATTTTAAAACTTAAATATTAGATGTTCCCAAAAGTTCCATTTCAAAAAGGAAAGATAATTCAAATACCATCTGGTATCAATATCAAGAAAATTGTGATGAGCAATATACTGGCAAATGTAATTTGGAGCTTTGTGCCGCTAAAATGTGGTATTACCTAAAACCCCACCACATGGTCTCAATTCATTCTCAGAGGGTAGCAAGGGAATGGCAGGGTAAATCTTTTAGGATTACATTTCTAAAGAAATGCCTAGCAGTTACTGTCTATGTTTTGTGGAGACAAATGAACAACAGAATTTTCAGACATTAGATAAAGAACGCAGCTGTTGACAAATCTGAAATCACAAGTTATCAGAAGCAAAATCCTGTCTATGAAGATCAAACCAGATCCTGGTCCTGGCACTATAGAAATCCTCCAGAATTGGCCAATCATTCTTCATAGATAACTGTTTTGTTCTAACCTTACCCCAAGGTGCATTGTTCTAACTTAGAGATTAATCTATATGTGTCATACTATACCGTAGACATGTGCATGCTACGATATTTTGATAGCTCTTTAACACAACCTGATTTTGCCTGATGCTGTTCGGTGATGATCGTGAGGGATCATGGATTTTGTAACTTGAACCATGACAGTATTTCTCTCCGACATTACAAAATTTTCCTTTGATTTAAGTTGAACAGAGCATTTGAATTCATGTAACTTCCCTCCATAGATTATGTATGTACAGTAGTTGTTTCCTTTTCTTCTCTCATTGTGGGTAGAGGTTGGGGTGGTTAACCTTTTTCCGGTTTCTTCTTTTCATAGGTTGAGGAATAATGAGTACATGTTTGGGATTTCTCATCAATGCCCTCCTCCTTCTTTATGATTTTTAAGTAGCACATTTGGTAATAGTTTGTTCCATATATTGCGNTGTGGGTAGAGGTTGGGGTGGTTAACCTTTTTCCGGTTTCTTCTTTTCATAGGTTGCGGAATAATGAGTACATGTTTGGGATTTCTCATCAATGCCCTCCTCCTTCTTTATGATTTTTAAGTAGCACATTTGATAATAGTTTGTTCCATATATTGTGTCAGATATGCTATACATAACACTGTGTATCAGGATAAGTGTTCGAAGCATGGACTAGAACCTAATGTAAAATCAAGACTGTGATCCCCCATCTCCTACCCTAAGCCAAGCATAATGTTGACCATCTTAATGTCAAACCCAAAATTCCCGTTTACTCAAGATCTTGGAGTGCCATCAAACGTTTGAAGTATCACAAAGTCAGGTGGACCATGAGCATAATATATAGATATAATCTAAGTACTTGTCGCCTCAACCAAACTAATCANTCCTACCCTAAGCCAAGCATAATGTTGACCATCTTAATGTCAAACCCAAAATTCCCGTTTACTCAAGATCTTGGAGTGCCATCAAATGTTTGAAGTATCACAAAGTCAGGTGGACCATGAGCATAATATATAGATATAATCTAAGTACTTGTCGCCTCAACCAAACTAATCACTTATTTTATCTCTTCTAAAATTATTGTGTTAATATGACTGACTTAAAGGAGGAATATTTCCCCAAAGGCATAGAAACTGAAAAGTTGCACGCCTATTCAACTAACAAAGCCTCATCTCAATTCTTTCTTTCAACTGTTCCAGTCCTTCTAAGCTGTAATTCTCGTGTACATACAAGAATGTTGGATGTCTGCCTATTGTTAGCCCCCTTTCTTCCCATGTATGAACATCGACATAAAACATTAGACTCCAAACACTATGTAATAGATGTAAATGCTGATTGCACCCAAAAATAGTATGCATTCCTATATCCAATAGGTTACAGGCAAAAAAAACAGAAAATAAAGCAGACAGATTTGAGCTCATATTTTTCTGAATATGTNGATGTCTGCCTATTGTTAGCCCCCTTTCTTCCCATGTATGAACATCGACATAAAACATTAGACTCCAAACACTATGTAATAGATGTAAATGCTGATTGCACCCAAAAATGGTATGCATTCCTATATCCAATAGGTTACAGGCAAAAAAAACAGAAAATAACGCAGACAGATTTGAGCTCATATTTTTCTGAATATATNTGTTGTTTCAAAATGCTTCATGGTGAATGCAAATTTTTTCATGTGCAGTCACCAGAATTCTCAATGTGTCATCGGCAGCTAGACATTAAGCACGTTCTATTTGAATGATAAGCCGTTTATCTGTTAGGAGATCTGTCAAAAAACTACCTCCTTCCATAGNATCAAAATAAATTCTTATACCCAAAAAGACCTAAATGAATACATAAAGAAGAAACCAAAAAAAAAATTAAGTACCAAATTTCAGTTGTTTTCGTTTCCAAACAATCAAAAAGNGGAGATCTGTCAAAAAACTACCTCCTTCCATAGTGGTTTTCGTATTGTTGGTTTCCTGTTAGCAGATGTCACGGTTGTGTCTTTCTCTGCGAGTAATGGACCTGCCCATGCGAAGACGTCGGTCTGTAAGAGCTTGCAACAAAACCTCCAGAGCATTCTCAAGTGCTTCAGCTTTCTTATCCAAACCAAGTGAGCTAAATGCTGGCAGAACTTGCAGCTCACAGAGGAGGCCAATAGCAGNAGTTTTTTCTCAAGGCCAATTGACTGCATTAGGGTTTTTTTTTTCCCTTGATAGAGAGGTGCATTAGGTTCAAGGGTTTTGTCTTCTCGAATTCCTAATTGGTAAACTGTCTCATGACCTANAAAAAATTAAGTACCAAATTTCAGTTGTTTTCGTTTCCAAACAATCAAAAAGTTTTTTCTCAAGGCCAATTGACTGCATTAGGGTTTTTTTTTTCCCTTGATAGAGGGGTGCATTAGGTTCAAGGGTTTTGTCTTCTCGAATTCCTAATTGGTAAACTGTCTCATGACCCAAAATTTCAACCTCATTTCTTTTCCTACATTTTCTCGGGAACCAAACAGAGAGCAAGTTAAAGAGGGGCTTGAAATCTACCTGCTTTTTGCTGAAGAAGATTACGACTCGTAGGCCCCCGAGACTCAAACGCCTCATCTGCCAATAAACGAAACGAAAACACAAAAAACATCAATAATTGTTTGATATACTAAAATACAATACATATACAAAACATGCATATATAGGGAAGGAACAATTAAATATGATTTATANCTACCTGCTTTTTGCTGAAGAAGATTACGACTCGTAGGCCCCCGAGACTCAAACGCATCATCTGCCAATAAACGAAACGAAAACACAAAAAACATTAATAATTGTTTGATATACTAAAATACAATACATATACAAAACATGCATATATAGGGAAGGAACAATTAAATATGATTTACATAGACAAAGTACATGAAATGTAGGTCGAAGAACACAAGCCAGCCAGAATGAAGAAGAGAACCAACTGGAAGAGACTGTTGGACACCATTGTTCTCTTCTTCTTTGATGATCACTTCGTAGCCTTGTTCTCAGAATTACAACCAACCCTTTATTTTTCGGGTGGTTTTGTGCAGTAAAGAAATGACCAAAAATAACGAGAGAGAGAGAGAGAAGTAGAGAGACGCCGAGAAATAATGGCGGAATTACAAACCGTGTTAGGCTGTCAGCTTTCTGTTATTGGCTATATTAGGAGGGAAAAAAAAGGCCATAAGCCTACTCGGTGATTTTTTGGGCTTTAGATCACGACGGTTAGTTTCCTTCATAATAATTAATAAATTTCAGAAAAAGAACTGTTTATGTCAAATTTTTATAGCACAAATCTTATTGGAATAATTCTTTTTTTTTTTTGTGGTCATGCCTTATTTGAAATTCATAGAATTTTAATTTTACATAAAAAAAAAACATACAAAATCGTGTTCTCTTCGAGAATCGCTGAGGTGGTTATGCATCATATTCGAAAGAACTTGTTTTGTTCTTTGTCGCAATGAATCATTGTCAATCTCAAGTGGTTTTACAGCTATTCTAATGAAACAAGTGGGAATACCACTCTGGATGTTATTCCAAGCAATAATAGACAATAAGATTAAGTAAACTATACGTAAGAAGATAGATGAATCAATTTTTAGTAATTCTGTCCTGACTCGGGTTGAACCCATAAATCCAAAGCCTCAACTCAAGTCCAGACCGAATTCAATTCGAGTTGATAACTTTTTAGCGCATGCCCAACCCAAATTCTAAAAAACTCAACCAAAATACTGATTGTTTAAGGCTGAAATCGGGTTAACACACCTAAGTTGCACCCCAATTTCCAAGGCAAATCCATTCCAATGGAATAAACTTCGAATATCTATAATCACCCATAAAACATCGACAACAGTGAAGCCAAAGAATTGTCAACAAGAGTCGAATCCAAAACTTACAGAGTTTCAAATGGTGACTCAGACATATTACAGCATGACTGAATTGATCAGAAAATTTTGAAAACAGATCGTAAATAACAAAACCGGCATTAATATCACCGACGTTCAAACTTTAATCGGGATCCACAGGTAAGAATTCTCACTGTTGTTTCAAAATGCTTCATGGTGAATGCAAATTTTTTCATGTGCAGTCACCAGAATTCTCAATGTGTCATCGGCAGCTAGACATTAAGCACGTTCTATTTGAATGATAAGCCGTTTATCTGTTAGGAGATCTGTCAAAAAACTACCTCCTTCCATAGTGGTTTTCGTATTGTTGGTTTCCTGTTAGCAGATGTCACGGTTGTGTCTTTCTCTGCGAGTAATGGACCTGCCCATGCGAAGACGTCGGTCTGTAAGAGCTTGCAACAAAACCTCCAGAGCATTCTCAAGTGCTTCAGCTTTCTTATCCAAACCAAGTGAGCTAAATGCTGGCAGAACTTGCAGCTCACAGAGGAGGCCAATAGCAGCGGCTGCTGTACAGGTACGGTCCCATGATGGTTGAGGGCTGCCCTCAAAAGTATTGGGAGAACTTAGCGGGAAAATTGAAAAAAGAGAAGCCCATGTGAAAAATATGCTAGAAAATTGTATAGTCCATCTCACCGAAGTTTGTGCATTGCAGATGCACCTGCAGAGAGTGAGATGCAAGGAAGGTCGTCTCCCCAAACCAACTTTGCTTGTTCCTGCAAATAAAGCAAATTCGTCTCATAACATATTCCACAACTTACACTGAAAAAGGGATTTAAACGTTTTATGTTTCTACTGCTGAACACTAGGCACTGCTGAAGGTGAACACTAAAAATTAGGGATTTTCAAATGGGGGGACCTTTTACAACTCCAAGATTTAACTTTGGCACTGCTGAACACTAGCAAAAGCAACATAAATTTTTGAAGCCTAGGTGACTTCCACATTAAACCAGTAATTTAAAGGATCATGAGACCTGGATTTCACAATGGAAGTGAACCGTGCGTGGCAGCCTGGCAGGTAATTCAAATATCAGCTTATGTTCTAAATATACAAAAAATGGACAAGGGCAAAGCAAAATGGAAGGGTATCATCCCATAAAAAATAAGTGAGGTTCAAAGTGAATGATTCGGTAATACAGAGACCAGCAGTTTAACTTTTAAAATTGGGCAAACTTCTTTTGACCCCTTTGTGGTTTGGCCTGCAAATAGTTCACCCCACTCACTCTCTCTCTATATATACATCTATAGTGGGCTAGTCTTGACTTTTGAACCGACATATATAGTGAGGTGGTTTGACTTTTGCACTGAAATGGCCTACTCTCCTTAGGCGGAATAAAGCAGAGAATTCTTCGGCAATGCTGAGCTCCTCAATAAAAAGGGTCAAATCCACAGTGAAAAGTTGAAGGAAACTATTCACAATGCCATACCCTTTGCTCAATGGTTTCTTGACTTCAGACTTCTTTTCATCCAATAGGGGTTGGATTATTGACTTACTCACAAAACTCCATCGAAGGCTTAAAATATGCTTCCATAAGTTCGATTCATTTTTTGAAAAGATGCTTTATTAGCATCTTCATCCAGCTAGGCCAAAACCAGAATATAAAGACATAATTGATGTCATTCTATGCTTAGCCAAGGCAGGTCAAGATAATTGTGGGGGTGCACAGTGGTGGTGGTGCAGAGATGTTGGTGGGTCAAAGTGAAGAAGAAGACAGAAAGAGTCTGCAGTCCGAGGACAGGGTAGAGGATAATGGCATTGAAGTCTTTTTGTCCCTGGCGCTAACAGTGTTAAGTGTTTATTTTAGTCCAAAAGCACAAAGGGGTTATTTTGAAACAATAAGGGGTGAAATGCTTGAATGCCACATCATAGGGGGTTATAAGCAGTTTGCCCTTTAAAATATAAAATGTGACACTAATCAATATCTAAGAAAAATAAAACCACATAATTTAGTTGAACACAGATTGCAACTTTATCAAACCAAAATGCAATATTGGGGGGGGAGGGGGGTAAAAAGAGTAGGAATAACAGTCTTTTGCAGTACTACCTTCAAACGCCTGAACATAGCAGCAGAATTGCTCCATGTACCATCGATCAAAATAAAGTTCATAGTTTCATCACCATTGGTCTGTGCAGTATAACGAAAAGAAAATTACCACCTTGCAGAATTGGAAATGAAATGTAGTAAGTTTCAAAGTAAAACATAAGTTATCTCGACAAAGAAAGAGCACATAATAATGATACGGATCAACTAACTCTAGACAACGAGAACTGTTCTACTTTAAATATTGTGCCACCTGCACAATGGCCAGGAATAATTGAGGGCTGGCCTTGGTGCAGGGTTAAGAAAGTTCGAGATACGGAAACAGCCTCTCCACACGTCGTGGTAAGATTGTTTATATCTGACCCTTCCCACACTGAGGCAACCTCGTACATTTGGCTGCTTTTTTCAAACAGTACCCCAGAATAATGTTTTTTTTTTTTCCTTCTTTAAACTTTTCAAAAATGACCCACAAATGACTTCTACTGCCTGCATACCACAGTAAAGCACATTGTTTTTTGTTGGAAACAGAAGATACTGCTCTTCTNTTTTTTTCCTTCTTTAAACTTTTCAAAAATGACCCACAAATGACTTCTACTGCCTGTATACCACAGTAAAGCACATTGTTTTTTGTTGGAAACAGAAGATACTGCTCTTCTAAGTTTTCATTCGTCATGGTGTTGTAGGGATTATGTCTTCATGGCCCACCTTGCAACGTGAAATAGAGTGGCAACTGGCAAGGAACCCCCGCCAATTGAAGGGGCATAGGATTGGATTAATAACACCAAGAACAAAAAGACGTCCATATGGAGATTAGTACATACCTTCTTTCTCTATGCATCCATGCTTAAATGATGCTCATAACGCAAGAAGGTATAGCATCGATGAAGGAAACATAAAAGAATAAGGCAAGTAGTTAAAATTATGGAGGCAATCAATGTATGATCACATTGACAATACAAACTAAAGAAGAATTTTCTTTTCTGCTGCCTTTTGGGTAAAAGTTGTAACACGAATAAGTAAAGAGAGCCTGTTGCATACTAGATGTGGGACAAAAGCTCAAAATGCCAGACAATCCTGACTCATAACTCCCGGAAGATATTGGTACTGTCAGTATGTTGATCCAGGTCANACTAGATGTGGGACAAAAGCTCAAAATGCCAGACAATCCTGACTCATAACTCCCGGCAGATATTGGTACTGTCAGTATGTTAATCCACGTTAATACCCTATGTACTTTTCAACTAAAGGCAAACATCAGTTCTTTCATGATTTGGAGCTGACACTATTATGCCTTTCTCAATTCATGACTGTACGTAGCGTAAAAAAGATATGGATAGCAAGCAGGAAAGCTGGTACTCAAAGAAGTAGGAGCCTTCCACTCTTTCCAAATCATGAGACACTTCTTGTTAATATGATGTCTTTGGTTATAATTTAAGGGGAGTGAAACTGATGAAGAATGAAAGAAGACTGATCGCTTTTCCATTCACCATCATATGACTCTAATATGATATATTGCTATTGCTTTCAAATGCTTCAACTATTTCAGTTGTCTGATTTGGTAAGTGACCAGCGACGACGTTTCAAAGCCACAGAATCGATCATCGACTTAGAGTAGACTAAGATGCAGTCATCACAAGTCACAACGTCACGACACCAAAACGGGTGATACAAAATGATAGATAGCAAATGAAATTAGATATGTCAAGTGCCCCTTTACTGGTTGCACTGTTCAGATAATTGGCAGAGTATGATACGACTTGAACAAGTAGTATCTGACTTGGGAATTTCGATTCCGACTTCATCANATACGACTTGAACAAGTAGTATCTGACTTGGGAATTTCCATTCCGACTTCATCATGCTGCAAATGCATCTCAATCTTAGTGTCCTCTGATCCCATCACCGGTACTGTAACCCTAAACCATGCATATTGTGGCATCACAAAAAGATATTAGGCGATACATTGCGAGTCGATGACACGAACGATCCGGCCAAGCCATCCTGAGTCAACCGCAAGTTGAGCAACAATCGTGGTTCACACTGAACACCGGACAGTATCAGAATAAAAGCGTTGAGTTGGATACAACTCGGCCAATTCTTTGGATCATTGCCACCAACAAATGGGCACGGCCAGGAGACAAGTGATTCCAAAAACTTACATTTTCAAATGAGCCCATAACAAATCTAATTTTTGCACGCAGAACATCAAACCATCAGTAAACTGAGCATCTTTAAAATTAGGATGTTAAGGAATAGATGGGCAGACCCAGAAGAGTTACTGCATTCATTGGAAGGTGGGGTGGGCTTAAAGGTTGCAATCCAAAGGGGTAAGTTGTGGGAGAACCATTTGCAATGGTCCAATATACTCATATGCAGAAGGAATCCAAGAAAATGACTCAACTTAGAATGGTGAACAGAGATAGAGCATATTTGGCACCTCAAGTGCATCCATTTGGTAGGAGAGTGCCTTATCTTTCATGAGCAAACAATACATAAGTATCAAGGCACTCATGCAAATATGAGGGCCTATAAAAAAGCAGACAGGACCTCAAAATCGATATGTCCCCAAGATGATCATTAATTATATACAAAGAAAAAGGGGAAGACCAAAATTAATATGGAGTAAGACGGTTTAGAAAGCAATGGAACCTTGTAATTTAACAAGGCATATAACCATTGACTGACCAGAAGGTGAAAGAGAATTCACCTGTAATTTATGAGAAATGTACTTGTTGGACTGAGCAACCAGGGCCTTTTAACAGCGCCCAAAATGCTTTCTACATTGTTGAAAGCTTGACGCTCATCCATAGCCAAAAAATGACAAGTCACTATCTGAGTGGATAAAATATTTTACCAGTAGCAATTGGAAAACCGGTAAACAAATAATCGGCATTATTGGTTAGTTCAAAAAAAGGAATACCATTTTTGGAGGGAAATCTATGCCTGTTGAAGGATCTCTAGCGAAGCTATCCTGAACAGACTTCGTCCCTGCATTCTTATTAGGATAAAGGCACCAGACATTGTTTTTCCCTGAAAATGATGTACAATGCAATCAGAAGAAGCCTGCAATTCCAGAGGCTTAAATGCTTCATATGAACAGTGGCAAAAAACACACTCAGTTCATACATTCATTAATATATATCGCATCCTAACATCCACTTTTAAGTTACAAATGCACCCACTCTTGAATGCAAGTTCCAATATACTACAGCTTAATCACAAAGCCAATGCTACAAGTTTCTCTAACTACTCAGTTTGGTTACTTTTAATTTGGATGACCATTCCAAATATCATTTCGCCCATTATCTGTTTCTAAAGGAAAAAGAATATTTATGATGTAGCAGGACAAGAATAAGAATTTCCAGAATTATACCATGTGCTTTACAACATCAGAAATCCATTGACAGTAACCCTCAGGTACAGTAAATTCTTCTCAGCAGAAGAAGAAAAAATGAAGCCAAAAACAAAAATAACACTCTCTGGTCTCAGTCCCACCAATGCCATGCCGAGGGAAGTGGTCCAGGTATAGACCTGACTTCTGGCATTANTCCACATCATGGTCTCGATAATATTTCACCATAAATTTTATAGAAATACCAATGATATGACATCTCTTGACATTTGTAAAAACAACACCGCCATCCCCTCCCTGACATTTCACAAATGAGACTGAAGGTGTATCAAAGCCGGACCCTCTCTACTGCTGGAAATGATTATGTTAGCAAAATAATGCCCAAAATGCCACCATTACTTTGCATTACCAGCTAGAACAATATAATCGTATCTCAAAATTAATTCATTACTGAAGTAGAGTTAACCCTACAACCAACACCTCGTCCTTTCTTATTCTTCACCCATCTCTCTCACAAGCACATGCACAAAGCTGACACAACACCCCCCACCCCCCAACAACACGTAGAATTACACAGAGCATCACACCTACTAACACAGTTACATATAGACATCTGTATCTCTCTCCCAGCACTTTATTTATCTCTATTCGATCTATGGTTGGAGGTTTGATGGATTTGATGATGGTGTTAGGTAGTGGGTTCGTGGTGAGGGGTTAGTTGGGATAGTTGGAAGGGGAGGTGTTCTTGTGTCTGGTGCAATGTCATTTAAAGCGAAAAACACACCAAGGCACCAATGTTTCCTGGGGCGGAGGGGTGAGACGCAAGGCAAAAGGCAGACTTAGTGAAACAAGGCACATGTTATGGGTGATATTTAAAAACTATGAATTCTTTCATAAATACAACTAAATGCAACAAATTTTAGAAAATATCAACAACAACAAAATATACAACTCACCAAAAATCATTACTAATCTGCAAAAGATAATAATAATAATAATAATTGCAGTAAATATAGCCCATAAAACTCATTTTAGTCAACTTTTGGAATCAAACTTCTGCAAATTACAATATATACCAACAACATTTTGTAAAATACAACTGATTTAAGAATTACCAGATAGAAATTTATCACCCAAATTCATAAATTAAACCTTAACAGACTAACAATAGAGAAAGAGACCCAGCCTACAGACGGAAGAGAAAAAACTGAAATGGGGTTGAATCGTTTACCTGGAGTTTGCCATGATTGCTTCCAAAACTCATCTGGGCATCTGTCTCTCTCTCCAAAACCTTCAAGTCCTCAACAATCTCTGTAACCATGGCGGGTACTGGAGAAGAAGTACCCCACGCCTGCCATTCTGGGAGGCTTATGGTGGCTTCACCACTGACCACTCTGTGTGCTTCTCTTGGAGGAGAAAGAGAAGTAGACCTCGAGACATTACTGCCATGGAGGATTCTGGGACGGCAGTCCATGTGGGTCTTGTTGCGGAGTGGAGAGTATGGTGGTGAGAATATTAAACTCAAGGCCCTAGTGACACAGAGCATTGCCTTTGTGGCGGTGAATGCGAAACTCTTTATGTCTTCATACTGCATTTTGAGCTGAGTTTGGACTTTTCATTCGGCTCAATCCAATCCAGTCCAACCCCAAACCCAACCCAGTATGTTATAGTTTTTTTTTTTTTTTTCTTTTTATAAGAATTATTATGTTATTTTGTTAGATATATTTCATCTTCGCCATTGAGATTATCTAAACAAAAGGAAACTATTCCATTTTCCATGCTAAAGAAATATAGCCAGAAACCCATTAAACCTTAAGTTAGCAGAAGTTATTGGGCGAATTGCACTTTGCACTGTAAAAAGATTTTAAAATTATTATTTTGCATCCTAAAAAAATAAATTTTTTATATTGCACCTTAAATCTATCAAAAGTATTGCAATGTGACTATTTTGTTAGCTTTTTATCAGTGTCAATGGATTGTTTTCTTATGGAAAAAAATAACGAAAGCTAACAGAATGACTATCTTACAATACTTTTGATACATTGAAAGTGTAAAATGAGAATCTTAAAATTTTGCAAGGTACAAAATGCAAAAACCCCTATGTTATTACTTATTATCTCATTTAAAATTAGTTTCGACCATTGTATCTCGCATGATAAATAAGATTCATGTGAGAGACTATAAATAAATGAGATAAAAGCTTTGTTGAATTAACCCTAAGGGGTAAAATGAGATAAATTTTTTTTTTGTTCCAAAAAAATTAACTTTAAGGGGTAAGTTCAAGTGGTAATAGAGACGATTTGTAAACTTAGACGTACATAATTCGAATCTTAACAATTTTTTAAAATTAAGTCATGAAGGATACTCTAGTTCTGACGTGAATATTAATCAAGGTACTCGTAATCTAACAAAGTCGTTGTAGGGAATGGGCCTAGATCCGCTCAAGGGTGATGGGTTCTTTAGCATGGGTGCAATCGTGGACTCTAATGTGCACTTGGTTGGGTTTAATAGTTTACAGTACCACAGTAGATGAGGGGTTCATTACGACTAATGGCCTATTATTTGTTTTGGGGTCTAGTAGTGCCCCATTGCTAGGAAGCTCACTTATGCCACCTTTATATTCTTTAACTAATTTGTCCCAACGGTGGCCACTCCATGTTGTAACTTAGAATAGATTATCCTCTATGGTTCCATTCAAGACAAACAGGTCATTGTAACTTGGAATAGATTATCCTCTCAAAAACTATTTAATAGTGGATTGCCTCATTTTCCACAAGAGAAAAGTAAGGTTGTTTGCCAGTTCTTTGTCAAATGATATTTGCCTTACAAGCCAAAACAAGTTACTCTTCAATCATTAGCTTAGTAGTGGTTTAATAGAACCTCATGTGCTTAGGTTCCATTTCTCTTTCAACCTTATGTTCAATGGTATTAATTGCTTATCAAACAAACTCCATTGTCACAATGATGCAGGACCAAAAATAACAATTGTATTCATGTTTCATAAAGAAATATATAAAGATTAGGTTTTCTTTGATTCCTTCCAACACCCCCTAAATTAAGGGAACGGATGGCGTAATGATTTTTTCAACATACAAGTAGTATCAATAAATTATAAATTAAAAGAGAGTTGATGTTGATTGAACGTGTGTGGGGAATGGTGATTTTATACACAACGAAGGTAATGCGAAAGACAGAGTTGACGAAAATTAATTTTGAATGTGATAGTAAAATAACACTTGGTTTAGCGGAAAATATCTCTTAGTAGAGATAATAGAGAAAAATGATCGATGTAGTCAGTCTTAAATAGGTGGTATATATANTTTTTTTTTTTTTTCTTTTTATAAGAATTATTATGTTATTTTGTTAGATATATTTCATCTTCGCCATTGAGATTATCTAAACAAAAGGAAACTATTCCATTTTCCATGCTAAAGAAATATAGCCAGAAACCCATTAAACCTTAAGTTAGCAGAAGTTATTGGGCGAATTGCACTTTGCACTTTAAAAAGATTTTAAAATTATTATTTTGCATCCTAAAAAAATAAATTTTTTATATTGCACCTTAAATCTATCAAAAGTATTGCAATGTGACTATTTTGTTAGCTTTTTATCAATGTCAATGGATTGTTTTCTTATGGAAAAAAATAACGAAAGCTAACAGAATGACTATCTTACAATACTTTTGATATATTGAAAGTGTAAAATGAGAATCTTAAAATTTTGCAAGGTACAAAATGCAAAAATCCCTATGTTATTACTTATTATCTCATTTAAAATTAGTTTCGACCATTGTATCTCGCATGATAAATAAGATTCATGTGAGAGACTATAAATAAATGAGATAAAAGCTTTGTTGAATTAACCCTAAGGGGTAAAATGAGATAAATTTTTTTTTTGTTCCAAAAAAATTAACTTTAAGGGGTAAGTTCAAGTGGTAATAGAGACGAGTTGTAAACTTAGACGTACATAATTTGAATCTTAACAATTTTTTAGAATTAAGTCATGAAAGATACTCTAGTTCTGACGTGAATATTAATCAAGGTACTCGTAAGCTAACAAAGTCGTTGTAGGGAATGGGCCTAGATCCGCTCAAGGGTGATGGGTTCTTTAGCATGGGTGCAATCGTGGACTCTAATGTGCACTTGGTTGGGTTTAATAGTTTACAGTACCACAGTAGATGAGGGGTTCATTACGACTAATGGCCTATTATTTGTTTTGGGGTCTAGTAGTGCCCCATTGCTAGGAAGCTCACTTATGCCACCTTTATATTCTTTAACTAATTTGTCCCAACGGTGGCCACTCCATGTTGTAACTTAGAATAGATTATCCTCTATGGTTCCATTCAAGACAAACAGGTCATTGTAACTTGGAATAGATTATCCTCTCAAAAACTATTTAATAGTGGATTGCCTCATTTTCCACAAGAGAAAAGTAAGGTTGTTTGCCAGTTCTTTGTCAAATGATATTTGCCTTACAAGCCAAAACAAGTTACTCTTCAATCATTAGCTTAGTAGTGGTTTAATAGAACCTCATGTGCTTAGGTTCCATTTCTCTTTCAACCTTATGTTCAATGGTATTAATTACTTATCAAACAAACTCCATTGTCACAATGATGCAGGACCAAAAATAACAATTGTATTCATGTTTCATAAAGAAATATATAAAGATTAGGTTTTCTTTGATTCCTTCCAACACCCCCTAAATTAAGGGAACGGATGGCGTAATGATTTTTTCAACATACAAGTAGTATCAATAAATTATAAATTAAAAGAGAGTTGATGTTGATTGAACGTGTGTGGGGAATGGTGATTTTATACACAACGAAGGTAATGCGAAAGACAGAGTTGACGAAAATTAATTTTGAATGTGATAGTAAAATAACACTTGGTTTAGCGGAAAATATCTCTTAGTAGAGATAATAGAGAAAAATGATCGATGTAGTCAGTCTTAAATAGGTGGTATATATATGGTTAATAAAGCTCATTTGAGAGCTTAAAGGGTGTGGACGAGAGGATTTGTGTTTTCTTAGGATAACAGGTTTAATAAATCGATACTGTTACACTTCTTAAAAAATTTAACATATTGAGCTGACTAAATCAATGTAGATAGTTGGATCGTTGAATCCAATTAACTTTTATCGATAGGGTTCACTATTCCACCATCCATGCAGG